CTGTGCTTGCTACGAAATCTACACTTTGAGGTTCGCTGAGTGCTGCGCCTGCCACGAAATCGGAACTTCGAGGTTCACAAAGTGCTGTGCCTGCCACAAAATCTGCACTTCGAGGTCCACAAAGTCTTGCACCTGCCACGAAATCTGAACTTCAAGGTTCACGAAGTGCTGCACCTGCCACGATTTCTGAAACGAACCACATGTGGAAACGTCAAGGTTTCCCTTGCGCCTGCCAAGTGACCAGCATGTCCGAAAATGCGCATGCAGGTATTTATGTTTGGCAGTGCCTGATTCTGGATTTTTGTGGGCTCGGACACCCTCGCGGCATCACTCCTCGCGGGCAGCGCCCTTGGCAGGACACCTTCACAGCGCCCTCCCTGCTTCGCAAGAGCCCGGCCAGGAGGAGGAGCCTTCCATGCGACATGTGGAGGAACTTGGTGCCTGGTAAATTTATGAAGTGAGAGTAAATTTATGAAGTGAGACCGGCTGATATGTTATTCACATTTATTTACCAACTCCAGCTCCAGGATGACTACTGAAATCGTATGCAACCATTACAACGCCTGTAATCAACTTGTGTGGCCCCAGTCTGTGAATATGCGGGGTGTGCATTCACATAGACCACTATTCCCGTGTTGAGGTCCATTTGCCTGCCCTTTTCCCATTTTAGGGTTCAAAAGTATGCAAGGTTCTAGTCTAAAAATTCATTACTCAACCAATGTCGCCCAAGCCTGGCGCTGCAAAGTTCATTCTGACACTGTAGAGGGGATTTACTTTTCAACTGTTTACATATAATGGATTATGGATGGACGACCTCTCCCGACCCTCAGTCTGAGACGGCAACCCCAACAGATTGTTCATCACTCTACCATCAGTTTGAAAGCTGTGGTGTGTGGTCTATATATATATATATGTATATGTATCTCTGTGTGTGTTTATTTGTGTTTCATACGTTATATTTGGCAAGACGCATGGCAAGACGCATGACATGCTGATGTTTTCTTTTCACGAATGCTAGCATGCTAGCTGAGTTCTTCTTTGCTTTAGCAATGTTGTGGTGGGAGGGGCTGCGTGCCTTAAAGATTGATATATCAAGCTAACCCCCCCCCCGGCGGTTCAACTCCCAGCTGCGCCGTGTAGGGGGTTGGTTGAACGTGGTTGGTTGGGTGTAAACGGTGGCTTGGTGTAAAGGGTGCTGCTGCTGCTGCTGCTGCCGCTCTGCTGCTTGCTGCTGCTGTTTGCTGCTGCCGCTGGTTGCCGCTTTTGTAGCTGCTGCTTTGCTACTTGTTGCGGCTGACGACGCCGCTGCTACTGCTGCTTGCTGCTTGCTGCTTGCTGCTGCTTGCTGCTTGCTGCCGGTGGTGCTTGCTGCCGGTGGTGCTGCTGCTGCTGCGGCTTGATGCTGCGCTGCTGCTGCGTGGTGCTGCTGGCTGGCTGCTGGTTGGTGGTTGCTGCTGGCTGCTGGCTGCAGGCGGCTGCTGCTGCTGCTGCTGCTGCTTGCTGCATAGGACTTGTACTTCACCGTTACAAGTTGTATCAAGTTGTTTACCCCTATTTCTAACCTAATGCATGCATAAGCGGGTGGTAAATTTACCCCCCAGGCTTGCTATAACCATACACCGGCTATTTCCTCAAGACACTCTATTCTTGATACCTTTTACCAGTGCTTATCCTACACTACGGACGCCCTAGTGTAT